CTGTCCGAAAATTTCTTTTTTTCAGCAACATTCTGGCTTTTCCGGGAAAAACTTGAAGTAATAAGTAACGTATTATTATATGAGAAGTTTGGAGTCCAAAAATCATCTTTCATATATTATTATTTGATTTGTGAAGGATTGAATTTTGAATATTGTTGTTTATATTTACCCTAAAACAAGTAGAGTGATCATAATCCTTTTTTTTCTTCATGTATACTAAATTTATGCTATTGTTAGGTTATGTTAGGTGTTATTGATCATAAAACAAAAAAATAAGATGAGAATAATCATAGTACTACCAGTATTCATGATTGTGTGTACCTCTGTTTAGATATATAGTACCACTTTGCTCATTGTTGGTACCATATGTGCTGGGAAATGTGAACTTTTTTTTTTTTATAATCCAATTATTGTTAGATACATGGAAGGGGCACAAAAATTTCTATCTCTCTGTCCGAAAATTCATATTTTTCCAGCAAGATTGTGACTTTTTCCGACGAAAACTTGAAATAGTAAGTAATGCATGTATTATATAGTAAGTTTGAAGTCCAAAAATCATGTTTAATTCATATATTTTTGTTTGATTTGTGAAGGATTGAATTTTGAATATTGTTGTTTATATTTACCCTAAAACAAATAAACTGATCACAATCCTTTTTTTTTCATGTATACTAAATTTATGCTATTGTTAGGTTATGTTAGGTGTTATTGACCATAAAACAAAAATAGAAGATGAGAACAATCATAGTACCAGTATTCATGATTGTGTGTACCTCTGTTTGGATATATAGTACCACTTTGCTCACTGTTGGTACCATATATGCTGGGAAATGTGAACTTGCTTTTTTTATTTTACTCCAATTATTGTTAGATACATGGAAGGGGCACAAAGTGATATATTAGGGAGTTGTACATGATGAAATGTATGTGTTCTCTCTGAACCTCGAATCAACTCTTGACGAAGTGTACACTCTCATTGCTAAGAGGTGGCCGATTGTTAGTTTGGAAACCGTCATGCTAAACTATATTGCGCCAAAGGAAAAAAAGAAAATTAGTTTGTTCGATGATGAGGATGTAAAAAACATGATTTGGTTACATCTTTGTTGGAAAGTAAACATTGTGGAGATAGTTGCCATTGAAAGAAATGAAAGCCCGGGCATTGGAAGAAATGAAAGACGGGATGATGGAGTTCAATCTATGCCGATGAACTTGAGCGGGTAATGTTGCTTTCATAATATTAAGGGAAAATTACAATTTGCCTACCTAACTATCCGGAAATTTACACATTTCATACAAAACTTTTTTTTTTTTTACACTTTGCCTACCTAACTTTGATTTTTTGCTACACTTTGTCATTTCCGGTCACCGCCGGCCTCATAAACCAATACGTGGCTCTTGTGCCTTATTGACACGTGTGGCCGGCGGTGACCAAAAATAGCAAAGTGTACAAAAAATCAAAGTTAGGTAGGCAAAGTGTAAAAAAAAAAGTTTTGTAGGTAACGTGTAAAATTACGGATAGTTAGGTAGGCAAAATGTAATTTTCCCTAATATTAATGAATTTATTATTGGTATATGGTGTATTTGTATCATCATATCCTAATTCATTAATTTCTTAACTAGTTCCATTATTTTATCATTAACGAAGGGAAATGTTACGGGAAGGAGAATCGTTGTTGGTAGTGCAAGATAAATCGATCGATTCTTTGAGATTCTCCATCAAAGGAGAGGGACAAATGTTCAGTGATGGTGCAGATGAATTTCGGAAGATTGTTAAAAACTACGCAATTGCGAAAAGGCGTTCTTTCAAGTACCGAAAAAATGATTAACAGATGATCATTGTTTGTTGTACTGATGAGGGTTGTCAATGGAGGATATATGCCTCAAAATACAAAGGTGATCAGGTCTTTGCCATCCGGAAGAGCAATTTAGTCCATACCTGTGGAGTGTCCAATCTTCGGACAAAGGGGGCATCCAAAAGCAGACTCTCATTGGGTCTCGAATGCAATTAAGGAGAAATTGAGAGATGAACCGAGCTACAGGCCATGCACGATATTGAAAGATCTTCATAGGGATTATGGCTTGGAGTTGCTTTATAGAAAGGCATGGTTAGGGAAGGATATTGCCATGCAAGATATTCATGGAGCAGACAAGGGCTTTTATGATAAATTGAGATGGTATTGTACTAAAGTGCGTGAGAAAAACTCGGGAAGCATTGCGGATTGCGAGCTTGACCCTGTCCAGAATAAGTTCCACCGATTGTTCATTTGCTTTCATACTTATCCTCATTCGGCCCAAAACATCCATCACCACCCTCATTGACTTTTTCGTCATCATCTTTCGCTTTTTCTTTTTCTTCTTTCTTTTCTTTCCACTCGCTCTCCAACAGATCATTTTTTTTCTTAGTTCTTCATTCTCTTGAAAAACCATGGCAAATAGACGGGTCTCGAACATTGTTCCCCCATGTACATGAAAGAAAAAAATTAAACTAAAGGGAACATAAATTACAGCTACGTGCACCTATGAAAATATATTAATGTTTAAACATAAATTAATGTTGACCAAAATTAAAGAAAACCTGGGTCTCCACAAAAGCATGCTCGGCAACCACAGGCAATACCGAATACTCCTGCAAAGAAAATCATAATGATTTAAGTACGATATCGATTAACCAAAAAGATAAAAAAATTATATAAATTACCTTATGCCGCATTACTTTTTTAAGGGCTTGTAAAGACCCTTCAAATGTAGACGACATCGAGGTCCCCTTCCATCTAAATAGACGGGGAATCGTCTCGAGCGTGGACCATTTTCCCACACATAGACATAATTTGAAAAGTAAACAAGCTCACCATTTCATATTATTGTATTAAGAAATTCAAACACACATATACATACCATCATCCCAACAACACATCCATCAAAGTAGGATCGGTCTCTCGATCCACCACGGCGAACAAGCTCGGCATTCGGCAACCAGGAATTTATGAGTAGCAATTCCCCATGCGTACTCGGAAATTCGACTCACATCCTCTACGTAAGGGTAAAGAAACCTGGGGAGGGAATAACTCGAACAAGGGAACAAAATGCAACTAAAAACAAACAAACTATACATCCTGATGAAGTCGTCGACACGACCTTCATCAATAGCAAACTTTTCTAACAACTCTACAACATGGTTTCTTCTCAACAGTTTATTACCTACTGGACCCCAGCCATCGAATAAGGCTTTCGACTCTAAATTAAGGTCTAAGTCTACGCTTAGACCGCCCTGTCGAAGCCCCATCGTTACACAAAACTCGGCGGGGTCAAAATTAAGAGACACATTATCACCTACCACAAAGGCATTCAATCTGCCTTGTATGTGCTAATTAAGGCCTCCACTCTAATATGTAACACCGCTATATCAGGCATATTCAGAAAAAAATAAAACGAACTCTTTTCAAGAGACTGCTTGTGCCGGTCAGAAAGCACGACAACTGTCCTATCCATTATATCTCTAAAGAACGAAGGGGCACATCGACATCTTAATTCTGTGCCCTATCACAAACAAATAAACCAAACAAAAAATTCAAACAACAGAAACAAAATAGCACCATTTCAACCAAACCAAACAACACCATTTCAACCAAACAGCACCATTTCAACCAAACCAACAACACCATTTCAACCAACCCAGCAGCACCATTAAAGAACAAAATAACAACACAATTAAAGAAAAAAATTGCAACACAGTCACTAAACAATTAATACAAAACTAAATAAAAAATTAATAAAGTTTGAAACATGTTTAACTAATTGAGCCCTAATTAATACAAATTAAGAAGATGCTTAACTAATTTAGCCCTAATTGAACCCATATTCCTATAAACCCTAAACATGAAAAGAGCCATAATTTATCAATAAAATTCTTAATTGTTGAAATAAAAATCAAATTCAAAGTTCATTAGCATCAACCAAACCCCAAATTCTGAAAATTTTCGAATTCAAAAAAATATGCAAATTTTTCAAAAAAAATCCCAAATTTCGAATTCAAGAAAAAATTCAAAATTGTTGAAAAAAATCCCCAAAATCTTACCTTGCTTACTGTTATAGGCCCTCATTTCGAATTCAAGCCCTAAATTGAAAAAAACCCTAATTTTCGAATTCAACCCTTAAATTGAAAAAAAAACCCTAAAATTATGAACAAAGCCAAAAAATAATTACCTTTGAGCTTGGTGATGCCTTCGTGGGTGTCGAGGAGGACGGTTTGCATGGAGATTTTTTTTGGAGCCGGCCATTTCTTCACAGAGATGCAAATGGCGAGAGGGCGATAGACGGAGAGAGAGACGAAGATGGCGATGGTGATGAACGATGAGACCGAGGAGAGAGAGAGGGCAGAATATGGCGAGGACCTATGGCGACTAAAAAAGCAATCAATTTTTTCAGAGAGAGAGAGCAGAGAGAGCAGCTATGGCGAGGAGATAGAGGGAGGCGATATGGCGAGGAGAGAGAAATGAACAAAACGATTTGAACTTTTCAGAAGTTATGCGAAATAAATGAATAATAAATATATTACATTATATATGGGGAGTGAAATGAAAAAAGTATTTTGGGAAAGGGAGTGCAGAGGGAATAAATTAACTTACGGACTGAACTCGAAGTTTACAGAGGCATTAGGGATTTAACTTGAAGTTTCCCTAGATTTTTTGCGATAGATAATCAAATTCAATTCCCTTGTTATATTTAATTTCTTCCGTTACAACATACCAAAATTTGCGAAATTTAGCAGCTAATTCATAGCAGACACCCCAAGCATCGCCACCAGTGACTTACTAAAAAACGACAAAAAGGACAAACAATGGTAGATATAAGATCTTTGCGGCATGAGGATCATGAAAGAGTAAAAACAAACTAACTTCCTGGAATGCGATTTTTACATTAGAAAATATTCCTATTTCGAGTGAATTATATCAATAACAAGAAATTTCAAAAGATCCTAAACCACAAAATATCAGATCAAATCAACAATATTTATATCTCATGTGGCGCAAGATGATGACGATAAGGACGAGCGAGACCCCACCAATCATAGCCGAGACAACCGTAATAATAATTTTCCTCCGATCGAGCTCCGCTCTCTTCGAATCCCAGAGAATCGATGATAAACGAGTGCAGTTACCAAGAGTCCCACCACAGAGGCCTATATTACCGGCAAAGCTGCTGGGACTCATGCTCTGGAACAACTCTGCGGATGGGAGTGGACCCGTTAGACGATTAGACGACAAATTGCACCCTAAGAGACTCGATAGATTCCCGAAAGTCCTTGGAATCTCGCCGCTCAATTCATTGTTGTTCAGAAACAGGTACTCCAAAAGGACTAAATTGCCCAGCTGGGACGGTATAGTGCCGGATAAATTGTTATAGCTGAGGTTCATTGCTATTTGCAGGCTGGTGAGATTGCCCAGCTCACTCGGAATTCCGCCGGATAAAAAGTTCCCGCCAATCTGAAGCTCTGTGAGATGAGACAGGTTGCCTAGCTCTTTAGGTAAATTTCCCGAAAGCATATTTTCGGATAAAATCAGAATTTCGAGCACAGAAAGAGTCCCTAACTCGGCAGGTATATCATGTGTGAAGCTATTCTGGCTGAGGTCTAGCCTCTGTAGAGCCCGGCAGTTGAAAATCTCGGGCGGTATCCTGCCCTTGAAAAAATTCGAAGAAACGTTTAAATCCACGAGCTGGAACAGATTCCCGATCTCCTTAGGCAGATCGGACATGAAAAAATTCCCCGAGAGGTCAAGCCTCTGCAGTTTCTCGCAGTCCCCGATTTCTAGTGGTAAAGGCCCACTGAACCTGTTCTGGGCCAATTCCAGAGCAGTTAGATTCTTCGATTTGCACATGTCGAAACGGAAATTTCCAGCCAGATTGTTATTACCGAGTAGTAATTGCACCAAAGAACCACAGTTCACGACGCCAAACGGGATGTTCCCGAACAAATGGTTAGAGGCGAGATTCAACGACACGAGGCCTGAATGCCGGCAAAGGTGAGGAGGGATTTTACCGAAGAGATGGTTTTCTGAAAAATCGACCACGGATAGTCGACCGCGAAGACCAAGGCCTTGAGGAATTACGCCACTAAGATTATTATCGAAAATCCGCAGCTCGTATATATTAGGAAGGTGCTGAAAACCGTAAGGTATAGGACCCTTGAGGTAGTTAATCGAGAAGTCGAGCATAGTGAGATTCCTCAGGCTACTGAGCTCGGGTGGGATAAGGCCAATGAGCTCGTTCTGGAAGAGGTGCAGCAGATAGAGGCCCTTTATCCTGGAAAACTCAGTCGGGATTTCTCCCAATAAATAATTTTCCGACAAATCAATTTCTAGCGCGAGGCAGAGATTCCCAATTTCCTTCGGTATGGTCTCGTTCAATCCGTTTCGATACAGATAAAGCTTTCTCAGGCAACTCAGATTACCGAGCTCGGGCGGAATATGCCCAATGAGATTGTTTTGGTACAATGCAAGAGTCTGAAGGCTCGTGCAGTTGCCAATCTCCTTTGGTATAAATCCCGAGAACTGATTGTCCCAAAGGATGAGATCGGTTAATTTCTCGAGCTTGCCGAGCTCTTTCGGTAAGTTGCCGCCTATCATATTCTGCGCAAGGCCAAGAACTTGAAGACTCTTGCAATTCTCTACGTGGGCAAGTAAATTCCCGGAAATCGCATTTTGGCCTGCTCGGAAAATCATCAAGTTTGTTAGGTTGTAAAACGAAATAGGCAGCGGGCCAGTGAGCTCATTAGTGTACCCCACAAACTCGACCAAAGAGGCTAGTTTTCCGAACTCCTCTGGGATAGGGCCTGAAAACTGGTTGTTGCATATGTTGAGGCTTGTCAGACGAGAGAGATTGCCCAAGTTTGCAGGGATATCGCCACTTAACTCGTTGTTATTAGCTTTGAGAATCTCCAACAACGAGCAATTGCCGATCTCTTTTGGGATGCTGCCTGTGAACTCGTTAACGAAAGATCGAGAAAAGTTAAGTAGGCCAAACTGCCAATCCAGGGGTTCAGTGTGCCCGAGAGATTTAGGGAGCTCAAATTGAGAGAACGGACAAAAGGGCAATGATTATCCAAAGTGCAATTCACGCCCGTCCAATTGCAGGGGGTCTCGTCATATGGGCTCCAATTAGAGAGAAAATTAAAGGGGTCGAGAATTGTTTTCTTCAACTCCAGGAGATAAATTCCATCATGACACAAAGCTACCGAAGGCCGAATTGACAAAACCAAGAGGGACACTATAATCCCTATGCAGCCCCAGAAAAAACCATTTCTCAACTCAACAATACAAGAAAACATCATGCTACTAATGGCTACCCCAAGTAGGTCAAAATTATAAAAGACAGACCACCAAGATAAAGATAATATTCCTTTCGATTCTGCTAAAAGGAATTTGTTGCTAAGAAAAAAAACCCAAAAAAAAAAAGAAGCAAATTTGTTAAAAACTGTCAATCACAATCTGGGACTAATGGGAACTTCAAAGTACATGATAGCAACTCAGAAAAATGGCCCCTTTCATAAAAGCTGAGGCGCTCCCTTAGCCTAAACTGTGTTTTTAGGCTATTTGGCAATAGCCAGCTGGCCATCTCAGGACTTCTATTTCACCATCAAAATAGCTTGAGATTAGGTATAGTGCCTTACTCATGATTTGAAAGGCAGCCAAGAGTTCACATATCCAGTAATTGGTTAATGCTGCATATGATAACAAAGGAAAATGTAAGAAACTACAAAATCTACATAGTAAAAGAAAAGGACCAAAAAGTAAATGCTGAAAATCTCCATACCTTAAGCTCCATGAAAAATTGAATCAGGACTCACGTGAAGATGCCTTGGGGAGAAAATAGAGCAAAAAGTCATGGAATTCATAAATATTCTTACATATTAGTTGAAGGATCGACACTCGTCTCAGCTCCTTCTTCCCATATATATAGGGGGTAAGATTTGAGATGAACAATGACAAAGATACATATAAACAAACGAAGCAACAGAAACAAATCCAAATGTAGAAAGAATGGCCCACAATCCAAATGAAAATGAAACAAATCTCTTTCTAGTCCTTCCAGTGAAGTTCAAATGGCCGACAAAGCATGCCTTCACAAATATTTCCTCTCCCTTCTATCTTCTTCTCGCTTGGGGATACTGTATTCTTACCCTCATCTTGCGCGTGTGCTGTTCTTCGTTTGTTGCTAGAACGAAAGCTATAGGTTTACGTATTTGACAATAGATTTTTTTTTATTTTTTTTTTCTACTCGCTATCAGCAACATTTTGTTTTTTTTTTGTTTTTCTTTTCATTTTTATTCATTGATTAGTACACTTCTAGAAAAGGTTGCCGTCTGTTGTACGTGTATTCCTCCGTACTAGAATCAGTTGTTCAGCTTATTCCATCATTGACCGTTTATTCGGCTGAGTAATTGGTTCTTAATCTCGATTATGTTGTGAATATAAGTAATTTTTAT